CCCCCCCAGATCAGCCCCACGGGCTCTGCCAGCCCCCAATTTCCCCCCCAGATCAGCCCCATGGGCTCTGCCAGTCGCATATCCTGGCTCCCATCCCAGCTGCTCCAGGGCGGATAGTGGGGGGGGGGTCCTGCCCCCCCATGGCAGAGCTGGCCCTGCTCTGGGCCCCGCAGCTGGTACCTCCTCCGGCCTCTCCTCTTCCTCCTCCTCGCTGCTGCTCCCCTCCGCCGGTCGGGCCTGAGCGGCTGCCCTGCCCACCTCCTGCTGCCGCCGCGTGAGCCGGGCGATGGCTTCCGTCAGGGCCGGCCCCTCGCCACGCTGGCAGCGGGCGAAGAGCGACTGGAGCTGCTGGCTCACCTGGCGGGGGGGGAAGAGATGGGATCAAAGGCCGGGGGGTGCCCCCCATCCTTCCAAGAATCCCCCAGGGCAGGGCGACCCCCCCCACATGCTCTGCCCTCCGCCCCTGCCAGAGTCCCCCGGGGCAGGGTTGAGAGATGGGTGGAGTCGCCTCCTGCCATGCGCTACGGGGGCTAGGACACACGACCGGGATACCTCAGCCAAGCTGCCATCCTCAATGATGGTGTCAAACTCGTTGTTCAGCACCTCGGCGAGGAAATCCTCCACCTCGTCCGGCTCCAGGGACGCTGCAGAGAGAAGAAGTGAGGTTCTTACCCACGAAAGCTTATGCTCCCTATACTTCTGTTAGTCTTAAAGGTGCCACAGGACCCTCTGTTGCTTTTTGCAGAGAGAAGGAGGCTCAGGGGTGGGGTGGGGGTGACTTTCGGGACCCTCTAGCCTGGAAAAGGAGTGAAGGATTCTGGGATCAGGGGCAGACTCCAATCCCCCTCCCCACCCCACCACTAACCACTAGACCCCACTACCCTCCCAGAGCCGGGGAGAGAACCCAGGAGTCCTGGCTCCCAGCCCCCCTGCTCTAACCCACCAGCCCCCACCCCCCTCCCGGAGCCAGGGAGAGAACCCAGGAGTCCTGGCTCCCAGCCCCCTCTGCTCTAACCACTAGCCCCCACTCCCCTCCCAGAGCCGGGGAGAGAACCCAGGAGTCCTG